AGGGGGGGGGGGGTGGGCAGTGATGGAGGGAAAGTGCGGGAGAGAAGGGGAGGGAGGGTTTATACCATTTGCTCTGTTAGCTTGAAGAAAGGGTCGAGTACCTGCAGCGACTTGAATGAGCACGGAGAGCAGAGGAGCCAAGAACCAGAGGAGGAAGGGGTAAGAGAAAGAGGCGAGGAAGAGAAGGGAGGAGCAGGAAGGAGGAGGAAAGGAGGAAGCAAGGAGGAAGACCGAGGGAGAACGCAAAGGAAGGTGTACTGACGAGGAGAAAAGAAGGAACAGGAAGGGAAGCAAGAATAGAAGAGGGTGAGAGATTAGCGAGGAAGGAAGAGACACGTCACCTGCGGGCAGACAGAGCCGAACTCTGTGGCATAGAGAGTTCCCTCCCAGCACATGCTCAGCTCCTTGCCGTCTCCACCTGCGCTGAGAGCAGAGGAGGGTCTCCATCTTCGGAAGCCTGATCAGGGAAAGTGAGGAAGAGGGAGGGAAGAGAAGGCAGAGGGAGGGAGGGGGAGGGAGGGGGAGGGAGGGGGAGGGAGGGAGAGGGAGGGGGAGGGAGGGGGAGGGAGAGAGGGAGGGGGAGGGAGGGGGAGGGAGGGGGAGGGAGCAGAAGAACCTGTTGGAGGTTTGGCGTAGGGGATGCCCTTGAAGACTCTCAGGCTCTTTTCCTTGAGACCCTTCACTAGCCCGCAGTCGGTCAGCACACTGTTGGTCATGGCCGCCTTCCCAGCTCTGCTCCCCCTCCTGCTGGGCAAGTCAGACTGGTTGAGAGCTGGGCAGGAGCAGGACATGGAGTTGATGACGCTGCTCCTCCAGCTCCTCTGAGAGTCCTCCAGCTGCTTCTCGATGTCCTCCTCCCAGCTCTGGTCCTGCTGGTCCTGGTGCTGGTCCTGGTGCTGGTCACGTGGCTGCTGGCCGAGGGGCTGCTCGATGGCGTCTTGGAGCTTGACGATGAAGTCTTTGATGGCCTGCGAGGAATGAGGAGGAGGAGGAGACAAAGATATGAGGAGGGAAAGAAGAGAGGAGAAAGGCAAGAGGCAGAATGGAGCAGAAGACAGACAATGACAAAGAAGGCAAGACGACAGGGTTGGGAGGACAAAACGAGCACGACTCAAGGACAGGAGGAGAAGCCAAAGGGAAGGGAGAAGAAAAAGGGATGGGATGGGAGACGATGAAGGGGAGGCCAGGAGATAGGAAGGGAGGGAAGAAGGCAGGAAGGGAGGGGAGAAGGTAGGATGGGATTCAACCTGTCGATACAAGGAATTCGCCTGAGCATCCTTGTCATCATCAGCTGCCTTATCCTTCGCCTCTTGCTCGCTCAAATCCTTCCTGTTACAAAAAAGTCAACGTCATCCATTTCCTTCACATCGCTCTCGTCACAGTACCCAGCGATATCATATTCATCATCAATTTCTTTAACCCCTAGCGCCCCCCCCCCCCCCGCCCTTCCTCCTCCTCCTCTTCCTTCCCGTCACGAACATCATATGTATCACTTTGCCTCCATCACCATCATCACCTCAATCACTACCATCATGACCAACATCCTTATCCTCCTCCTCCTCTCCTCCTCCTCTCCTCCTCCTCTCCTCCTCCTCTCCTCCTCCTCCTCCTCCCTGCTCATTCTCATCGCTCTTTCCAGTACAACAGCGAGGAATCTCACTCGATTTCTTCCAATCGCTTCTCCATCGAGTCCTTGATCATCAACAACTGCGCAATCATCGTCAGCACCTCCTCTGTCCGCATTTCAGCTCGCGTGCCTGCTGCTCAATCTCCTTCCTCTCTCCTGCCCCTTTCCCTCTGCCCTTCTCCTGCAGCGCGGACGCCCTTCTCATCAACTCCTGCAGACACAATCAGCTGGTATGAACGTGAAGTGCAGCGCATACTTGTATCCTTGAGTCAGAGGCGAGAGATGAAGGTCTCTGATAGAAACCATTGAGCTAGAAACACATGGAGGTGGTGGTGACAGTAAGGGGAGGAGGTAGTGGTGGCGGTAAGGGGAGAGGGAGGAGGTGGTAGCAAGGGGAAGAGGTGGAGGTGGTGGCAAGAAGAGGAGGTGGTGGTAGTGGTAAGGGGAGGAGGTAGTGGTGGTGGTAGCAAAGAGGGGAGGCAAAGTATTTCCAATATCAAGGTAGCTATGAAGTGGATCAGGAGGAAAGCAAGGTTGCACTTTTTTGAAAGAAGACGACAGAAGAGGAGGAAGAGGAGGAGACGAGGAAGACGGAAAGAGGTGGGAGCGCAAGAGGGTGAAGAAGGAGGAGGAAGAGAATCACCAGGTCATGTTCGTGGAGGATGGACGTCTTAGATTGCATCCTCGTGCCCTTCAGACCTGGAGGCTCCCTGGTGCTCACGGCTCTGCAGAGACCAGTGAGCAGGGGGAGCTGGCAGGGAGGCAAAAGCGAAGGAGGGAGGAGAGAGAAACAGCGAAGGAACGGGGGACAGACGATGGAGGAGGAGAGACTCATGGCAGAGGATAACGTGAGGGGGGAGCGAGCAGGGGAAGCGAAGAGAATCTGAGGCTTCTAAGAACAAAATCACTCACCTTCGAATCTGAAGAAGCGGCCGGGAAGCTTTCCTCGCATATCCTACCGGTCTGTCTGGAGACCCTTCTAATCGCACGCACGTCAGCGCAGGAGGAGCTGGGACGACGGGAGGGAGAACGAGGAGGATTCAGGATCAGGAGTAACAGAAGAGGTTGTAGAAGGGCAAGAGCAGAAGCAGGAAGAGTGCTGAGGAAGGTTAGCAGGAAACAACAAGAAGGAGGAGGAATCGAAAGTATATCAGCATGACAAGGAGAAAGAGGAGGCTGAGAAAGAGTCACAGGAGGATAATGAGTAGGAGGAGGGGATGGAGGAGGGGGAACCGGGAGGATAAATCTCCACAGATCCATCCGTGGCTGCATTCGGATTGTTCTTCTCCATCTCCATGAACTTGCTCCTTGACTTTTCGCAGCTGTCAGCAAGCAACCCACGTCCCCCACCTACATCCTCCGAGATCAACCTGCTGATAGGACACTTGTGCCGCATCCTTCGCGGTGGATACCGCTGCATCGATCTCCTGCGCTCTAAGGTCAGATCCATCGGGCATGCAGCGGGCAAGCGAGCACCGACCTGATCTGCCTGCTGCTGGATTTCCTCTTGAACTTTCTTGATCGCGTCCAAGTCAACGTCCTTGCACGTCGTGTCAGAAGACAGCAGAGCGGGCCAGATGTCCTGACTGGCTCATTCTTGACTAGATCCGCTCCTTCCTCACTCCTGGAACCGACTGCTCCCTTGATCGCCGCGGCCACACTCTGGAGATGGTGAGGGATCGAGGCCCGCAGGCGGGGTAGCAAGGTGAGGTACCAGATCCTTGTCAGCTGAGTCTTCTAGAAGAGCTTGCTTGCTAGCTCGCTGCTTCAGAGTGTGTAAGCTAAGGGCAGAATAGGCCGATGAGGACAACCTTGGCTCTGGCAGCATGAGAGAGCTGCAGCAGTGCCGTCCTTAGACTTAGCTCTTCATTCTTAACCTGCGGGCGAGTCAGTCAGTCAGTCAATCAGACAGTCAGTCAGTCAAGCAGTCAAGCAGTTGGTCAGTCAGTTGGTCAGTTACTCAGCACATTGTATCATGGTTCAGAGTACCAGACCTTCTCTTGCGGAAACACCAGGAACAGAAGGCAGGCTACGGAAACTGCAGCAATGCAGACGAGCGATAGCGAGCGACGGTATTGTTCCATTCTACCATCATAGTCAGGCTCCACGGCATCAAGAAGACGAAGAGTAGCGGAGGAGGGAACGAGGAATACAGGCACAGAAAAGCGGGTAAATGCGAAAATGAGGACAGGTAACAGCCATGCTTTGTTGGTTCTGTTGACAGAGAAGAAGACTATGCTGGTAGCTGTCATATGTTCATGTTTGGGTGCAGGCAGCAATGTGTCAGGAGGAGGACAAGCGGGGAAAGCAACAGCAGCAGGAGCAGCAGGATACAAAGGTGGTGGTGGAGCAGGAGGATCAGGAGGCGGGAGGGCATGTCACCTCTCACGTGTTCATGCAGTGATCAGCATATCGCTTCTCCAGCCATTCTCCCCGAAAATAGACGACTCGACGGGGCGGGCCTGACCTGGACAAACTTTCACAGGAACCGTTATCAAACCGTTGTTCACAGTAATAACTTAACGGCGAGAAGAGAAAAGACAGCGAGAACCAATCCTGCCGACTGCTGTCCCCCAAACTTAACTGATACCTTCACTTAAGCAGGCTATGACTGTCTGTCTTTAACTCAAGTTAAGTCTATGTTGGCTCGCACGTCCTTTTAAGGTGTGGCTTACGGGGGTGGTAGGGGGTGGTCTCCGGGGTGATCAGACTCCCTCGTGACCGATGGCAGCGTGACCAGCTAAACGCTGCTGACCCTTTTAAACTTGAATTGTGCCCCAGGCCCTCCCAAATTGTGAGCTCTAAATTCCTTTTGGGTACTAATTTTCAATGCCTTGCTTGAACCTGACAGGATGTTTGTTTACAAGGTATTCTAGATGGTTTCCGAAAGATTGTGTTTCAAGTTAAAGTACCCCAAAATATGCTTTCAATGTCATAAGCGTGGGTACATGTGATTGACTGATTCAGTACAAATTTACAAATGATATTTAATTGGAAGTCTCAAAAGCACTTGAAAATGAATTCCTGAAATTAAAAGATTATATATTTGCACAAATCGTTCCAAGATGATGGCCCTTTTTGGAGATGACTTGGTTTTACCAAACTATCTCTTTTCAAAAAGTCTCCCAGCGAAATGTATCTTTTTTGTTTTTAGACCATCTTACACAACCCTCTACTTGTCTGGAAACCCGATCGAAAATAATAAGTCGTCCCAGGGCCTTCCTGACACATTTTGCTCCATGGGTCTCTACATGTTGTATTCTTTAATTACATTTATATGAAATTTGAATTAGCCTCCCTCCTCATGGGTATCTCCTATCCCGTGCTGGGAAGTGCCCTTCAAAAACATACCCCTACCCCCTTATCTCGTTTTCACCTGTCTACATCTTCCCCATAATCTCTTCTCTTTTCGAAACCTCGCTGTGCGTATCCTCCATGCCCCAGTCCTTCCTGTCTCATTGGCCTACTTGCTGTCTCACCTTCACTTTCGCTTTCTCTCCTCCTCTCCTCCTCTCCTCCTCTCCTCCTCTCCTCCTCTCCTCCTCTCCTCCTCTCCTCCTCTCCTCCTCTCCTCCTCTTTTGAATACTCTCGCTCGCGCTCACTGATGCTGACTCGTCACTCTTCCCTAATTTTGCTTGCTCACATTTTCCTGCTGCTTCTGGCATAAGCAAACCAGTCGCAATAACGATAAGCAACTTTGTTGAGAAGTCAATGATGTTTGTCTCTCATTGATATGATTTGCTTGCCTCAACTCATCCAAGAACATTGTTTTCGCCCTATGTCTTGAATCATGCCTTTCTGCCTTAATTTTCAAAAACCATTGCTTAGAAAGTTTCAAGGTTTGACATTTACTACAGATATCGATGAGAACTTGAAAGCATGGATGGGTTCAAAGAAAAGCTTGACTTTGCTCAATTCTTTCAAAACAAATCCGGATCTTTTGGGGCATACAAATCATCTTCAAACCATCCAGGGCACGAATCAGCTGTCAGCCAATCTGAACAAAGGCATGGCGAGGCAGATTTCAAAGCAAAAAAACGATCCTTGTGTTCCAAGCTCGCCCTCGAGATCTTCGCTGAGCGTTGCCTGAAGACAGGGTACGCGACTGTAGAAAGCACGTTCATCGCAAAGAAGTATGGCGTGAGCTCCAAGACCGTCCGCGACATCTGGAACCGCAGGACATGGGCCGAGGCTACCAAGCCTCTCTGGACAGACGAGGAAAAGGAGTCGACGGAGGAGCTTGATGCGTGCAAGGAGAGAAAACGGCAGGCTAACAAGAGGCGGAAGCTCGCGCACATGCGGCAAGGAAACGACAAGAGCGGAGACTCTCATGACTCCGAAGGTCATGAGATGGCTGAGGAGATGCATCAGCCAGACAAAGGTGAGGGCAGTGTACAGGAGACCTGCTCGGGATCAGAGACAAGCACCATGTGCGAGCAGAGCTCGGCCAAGGAGTCCCAGGCGGAGGACAGCAGCGACGCGTGCAACCCCAAGGGGTCATCGAGCGGCTCACCAGAGGGCTCGAGCAGCCCGACGTCAAGCATGCAGTCGAAGTCAACGACCTCATCAGAAACGGGCCGGTCGGAGCAATGCGGGGCGAAGGAACCGAGGGGGACGGAGAGGAAAGGACCGAGGGGTGGGCTAATGGACAATGGGTACAGGTCAGAAGGATCATCGGAGTGCTCGGCAGGGTCAAAGCGGAGAGGGGAGTCACAGCATAGAGGTCGAAGCAGGACGGATGAAGCCGCCTCAGAAGCAGTGTGGTGGTCTCTTGATGCGTTACAGTCACACAACAACTCTCGCAGTGTTCAGTCGGACAAGGATGATGGTCTTGCTAGTATGGAGCTCGCCAACCTTCTCAAGCACATTACGGAGCAGCAGAAGCAGATTCTGGAGCAGCAGCAGCAGATCTTGGACAAAGGCAACACTTTGCAGATGGTGTTGGATTGTAGGATATCGCAAGGAGGGCAGACGCTGGTTGGATCTCAATCGAACTGTGCTGTGAGCAACTGCTTCAATGGCCAATCTGGATTACTTCAGTTTGGAGAGATGTCCGGGGCGAATGTTGTCAGCGGTGGTCAGAGGGCGGCATGGGAAGAGGGAGTTCGCCACAGGGCACCAGTCATTGAGGGATGGAGACATGGAGGTCATCAGGGTCAGGAAAACCTAATGGGAGGAGCTTTTCAGAGAGGACAACCGCAAGGTCAGCAGATGGGGGCAGTTAACCAGGCCCTTCTTCTGCAACTCCTGCAGGGACAGCTCTCGGCGTCAAATGCTTCTGTGTTCCCTTACGTCAAACGAGGCTGACCATGTGCATTGATGAATCAGGGTAATGCGAGATGGTTGGTCGTACCATATTTGTTTATATCGTGTAAATGGATTTGATCATTGTATGATTTCTTGTGTTTACTGCTTTGCTTAAGGTACCGTGCAATTTAAATAAAAACGATAAATAAATCCCGTGCTTCATTTGTTTGTTGCTTCAATTCAGCATTTTTTGCGATGACTCAACACATTTCTTCTTGATAACGTAATATATAGTTGTCGTTGGTACGAGTGTGTCGCTCCCATTATCATGGTAGGAAAAGCATTCTTGTTTTACGAGCAAGATTTTACGAGCAAGAAAAGCAAGAAAGGAGCAGCCAAGATGTGTCGAACCACGTAATCCTTGGTAAGAAAGAAGTATGAAGGGAGAAACGTATACATACATACAACTGCGGTGCATACTCTACCAATTGGCATACTTCGTCTGCTTTACCGCCGCACCTTCGTTTCGCTGCTCATTGCATTGTATACTCCAGGAAATGCAAGAGTCCCGTTATTCACACAACCAGGCAAACTCTAACCACCCCACCCCCACCACCCCAACCTTCGTGCTGACAATGATTTTAAGAAAACGCATCTCTTCCTGAACTCTCCCACTGAAGCGTTCTAAATTCGCGCTCACCACCCCTGCATTACCACCCCATTTCTCCGATCCCAATAATGGGCCCCAAGGTTACAGTCGTTGAATTTGTACCTTTGGTGCTATACTCTCCTGATGTCATATGTGTTCTCAAGCAAATTATTGATATCCTCCTGCCTCCGTTGCTGTATCTCCCTTAGTCTCTGACTCGGGGGGACCCACTCCTACTCCACCCTTTTTCTATTTGACCCCACCGTATCAAAACTACCCACCCCCAACATCACAAAAACGATTGGTTCACTAACCGGGTAATATAGCTATATTTTTAGGGGTGAAAGGGTATATAGGCTCCACCCCACCCCAAAAACAAAGGACCCCTCCATTTTCCACATGTAAGGAGAGCAAGCAGGAGGAGGATCAAGCGGGAGTGAATATCATAGGCAACAGGATACAAGACAAGCTCAACAACAGAACCGTACCCAGCCCTCGCTTTCAAGCATAACCCGTCTCGTGATCTGCATGACGAAGTGATCTGCGATGGAAGGAAACAAACCTAACAGAGGTCTAGATGACCTCATTGAAGCATCATTGAAAGCTTCTGCTGCCTCTGCCGCTCAATCCCAAAGCACTCACAACGACGATGACATCAGAGATAGCAACGCAAAAAAAAAGTCTTTATCGTCCAAGCTCGCCCTCGAGATCTTCGCTGAGCGTTGCCTGAAGACAGGGTACGCGACTGTAGAAAGCACGTTCATCGCAAAGAAGTATGGCGTGAGCTCCAAGACCGTCCGCGACATATGGAACCGCAGGACATGGGCCGAGGCTACCAAGCCTCTCTGGACAGACGAGGAAAAGGAGTCGACGGAGGAGCTTGATGCGTGCAAGGAGAGAAAACGGCAGGCTAACAAGAAGCGGAAGCTCGCGCACATGCGGCAAGGAAACGACAAGAGCGGAGACTCTCATGACTCCGACGGTCATGAGATGGCTGAGGAGATGCATCAGCCAGACAAAGATGAGGGCAGTGTACAGGAGACCTGCTCGGGATCAGAGACAAGCACCATGTGCGAGCAGAGCTCGGCCAAGGAGTCCCAGGCGGAGGACAGCAGCGACGCGTGCAACCCCAAGGGGTCATCGAGCGGCTCACCAGAGGGCTCGAGCAGCCCGACGTCAAGCATGCAGTCAAAGTCAACGACCTCGTCGGACACGGGCCGGTCGGAGCAATGCGGGGCGCACAAGGACGGCGTTCGCAAATCGATGCCAGAGCTGCTAGGGGAGGGGAAGGAACCGAAGGGGACGGAGAGGACAGGAGGGAGGGGTGGGCTAATGGACAATGGGTACAGGTCAGAAGGATCATCGGAGTGCTCGGCAGGGTCAAAGCGGAGAGGGGAGTCACAGCATGGAGAGCGAAGGCGGACAGGGAAGGAGTCGGGGAAGCATGCAAGGTTAAAGGAAGCTCAATGCTCTCTAGCGTGCAATCCGCACTCAGGTGCAGAGCAGCTGCAGACTGGAAGGGACAAGGAGGGATCAGAGACTTCAGAGAGTTCGCTAGAGACTTCTTCGGATCGGTCAAACAGCTCCAAGCAGGTGTTTCAAATCGAGCCGGTAAAGTCGGGCGCGTCTGGAGAGATCGCGGCCCTCCTCAAGAAGTTCACAGAGCAGCAGCAGCTCATCCTGGAGCAGCAGCAGCAGATCTTGAACCGGGCCACCCAATTAGTCAATCAGTTCCCGATTGCTGTGGAGCAGCGAGCCTCCCATGCAGAGCCGATGCCTCAGCCGGGGCCTTGGATGGGTGAGGCCCGGGGGATGCTCCGTCAAGGGATGTCCGGGGCTGCTTTTGGCAACTTGGGTCAGATGATGGCAGGAACAGACGGAGGTCAGGGCCTCGGGATTAGAGCTGGGGAACAGGGATCGTTTCAGGGTCAGGGTCAGGGCATGGGGGGGGGTCTGAGAGATTATATGCAGCTGGGTCAGCAAGGCCATCAGGCTGGCTCTGGACAGGCGGACGAGTTTCAGCAACGCCTTCTCCTACAGCTCCTACAGACTCAGCTCTCAAGTTTGCTCCCTGGTATGAATCAGCAACACAGGGTCTAGGTTGATGACCTGCTCGATATGAAGTCGCAAAAAAAAAAAATATCCAGAAGAACGTCGCAACCGGTATTTTGTTGGTTGCTGTACAGAATGGTATGCCCAGGGGGACTTCCAGTCTTCTTACCGACGCTGCGCTATCTTTGAATTCTCTGGAAAGTTGTACATGTTGTGATACCTTGCGTGAAACAATATGAGATAGCTATGATAAATCAACTGATAAGACATCACAAAAGCGGTCAGATCCTGATCTATGGCATGGTTTTTCAGTCCACACCTTCAACTCCACCTCTCCTCCATCCTCTTCCCTGTGTTTGCATGATGCGCACCACAGCTCTTGCAGCACTGCCCTCCATTCATCGCTCGCTCACTTCGGCTCTTGAGTCAAGTTGCAGTCAAGCAGGTTGCCAACTCCAGATGGCCACCTTTGAGGTCAACCCGTCGGGAACGACTCTCGTCGTAACAAGAGTTTTTAGTTATCTGGATATAGATACTATTGTTTTTCTAGTACCGGTACATTTCCCTTGATAATATTGGGTATGTCTAGCGGATGTCCAGCTTTGTTTTTTCATTCCACTAATCTCTGCGCTTTTAAGCCAGCCCCTTATAACCCCTTCCCCTCCCGCGCTGGCCGCCATGCTGCGAGTTGTCCTGTTGGCCTCCTCGCTGTCCGCGATCGCGGCGTTTGCTCCTCCCTCTCCCCACGTCCTCCCGGGATCCTTGTCCTCTCTCAAGAGCCATGGCCCTAGCCCGACGTCTCGTCTCGTGTCTCCCCGTCTCGCGGCAGGCAGGCGAAACGGCAAGGCACAGGTGGTCTGACGTGATTCATGCTGCTTCTTGTTGCGTTTCTTCTGCCTGCTTCGCGTGATCTTGTCCCCATGTTCGCTTGTATTGTTTCTGCGCGTGTAGCTTATCTCTTGAGCTCTAGGTCACCATGCAGGCCTCGGGACTTCGCCGAGTCGTGGTGACCGGGATGGGTATCACGAGCTGTCTTGGAAACGACCTGGAGACTGTCACCAGCAACTTGAAGGAAGCCAAGTCAGGGATCCGCTTCCGCCAGGAGTTTGCCGACCTCGGCCTCAAGTCCAACGTGTGCGGGTGGCCTCAGCTCACCGAGGCTGACTTCAAGGAGCTCATTCCCCGCCAGGCCCTCAGGTTCATGGGCGGAAACGCAAGTGAGTTTGACCGCTTTGTGTGTGAGCAAGTCGAGGTCAAAATTTCCTGTTGTGTGTCTGCAAAGTAGCTCAAGCAGAGTTTGCTTCCTTGCTTGTTCTTTGAGCCCTGCTATCTCGTACATGTATGCGCTGAGCTGACTCTGTCCTTCATAGAGTACGCGTACATTGCCCTCAAGAACGCCCTCGACGATGCTGGTCTCAAGGAGGCGGACTACCAGAGCAACCCCAGGTTTGCTTCCATCCTCGGTCAGGGAGGAACTTCCATCGAAGATGTCGTAGAGACGGTTGACGCTGTCAAGAGCAAAGCTCCTCGTTGGGCCAACAAGGTCGGCCCTTACAGGGTCACTCGTACTATGGGGTCCACTGTTTCTGCTGTTCTCTCCACGGCCTTCAAGCTTCAGGGCCCCTCCTTCTCCATCTCTTCCGCCTGCTCTACCGGCGCTCACTGCATCGGTGAGCCATGGCAGGGCTGCTGGCTCGGCTAATAGTAAGCAGGTGTTGGGATGGAGCAAATTCAGCTGGGCAAGGCTGATATCGCTGCATGCGGAGCTGGTGAAAACGATGCGTGGGAGTTCACGGTGATGAGAGGAGGAGGAGGAGGAGGAGGAGGAGGAGGAGGCAGGTAGTGATGGTGGAACGCAGGCGATGTTTGACTGCATGGGAGCTCTCTCGACCAAATACAACGACACGCCTGAGACTGCATCTCGCGCCTTCGACAAGTCACGCGACGGCTTCGTAATCGCCGGAGGAGGAGGCATGCTTATCCTCGAGGACTATGAAAGAGCCAAGGCAAGAGGAGCGAAGATCTATGCGGAGCTTGTGGGGTACGGAGCAAACTCCGACGGCTACGACATGGTGGCTCCTTCCGGCTTCGGAGGAGAGAAGTGCATGAAGATTGCGATGGCCATGGCGGACAAGTCGGCCAACGGAGCTCGCAAGATCGACTACATCAACACTCACGGCACCTCAACCCCCGTCGGCGACGCCATGGAGCTTCAGGCCATCAAGAGAACCTTCGTCGAGGACTCCTCCCGCGGGTACAGCCCGATGGTGGGCTCAACCAAGTCGCTCTCCGGTCACTCGCTGGGAGCTGCTGGAGTGCAGGAGGCGATCTACTCGCTTCTCATGCTCAACAACGGCTTCCTGGCCGAGTCTGCCAACATCAAGGATCTGTGCGACGAGGCCGAGGGCCTCAACATCCTGCGCAAAAGGTATGACGGGCAGGTTTCGCGGGTTCTGTCCAACAGCTTCGGGTTTGGAGGAACCAACGCTTGCTTGATCTTCGACAAGATCTGAGAGCGCAACTGCATACAGTTTCAGTGTGCTCTTCAGAGACATGCCAGTGTAAAATGCAGAAGATTATTATACAACATAATTCGAAACTTTCCTTTTTGTTCAAGGATACTACTTCACTACAGTCGGCATTCTCTTTCCAACTCAGTCAGGCTCAGGCCAGGCCCACGCTCACAGCGGCCCGGCGGGGGCGCCCGGCCGCCCGGCGCCTTGCGGCCCGGGTCACGCGGGACTGAGTCCGACGGTCACGGCGTACCGTACGGTCTCAGCGGGCGGGCACCATGGCACCCGCCGGGCGGGCCGCCACCAACCTGAGCAGCCTGAGACGGTGAGGCGGCCTCACTCGGGCCGGCCCGGCTCACTGCGGCGGATCGGAACGGCGGCCCGGCCCGGGCCGGCCCGCCGCCGCGCGGCAGGCTGGGCCGGCCGCCCGGGGGCCGGCCCGGGGCCCGGGCACTGGCCGGGCCGCAGCAGCCTGGCCGGGCACTGCCAGGCTGCCGGTGGCACGGAGGCCCGATCGTACGGTACCGTACGACGGTAGCCTCGGGATCTATACTACCTGGCCGCATGATAGTCATGACTGAGTGCACAGTATTACCGTCCCGAAGTTCACCGGGTTCGAAGTTCACGGTTGACACCGCCGGGCCGGGGCCCTGTCCGATCCAATCCGGACTCCGGCCGGGCGGATCGGACTGTGAGTCACAGTCCGACCATCACAGCCGCCGCTGAAGTCACGCCGGTTACTGAGTTGTCGCGGCGCCCCTCTGGCGGGCCGGGCCGCACTGCACACTCACCGGCACCGTGTCCGATCCGAGGCAGGGCCGGGCACAGGCTCAGGGTGAAGCCTTCAATATTAGTGTACTACCGTACTCGGTACTACGGTACGGTACTACGGTACTAGTCTTATGGTACGGTCCGACTTGCAGTTGACGGGGCGGGCCGCGCTGAATGATCTGCACTGAGGCGGCCCTGCTGCTGCTGCTCCCCTGGCCAGGCCCTCGCGCTCAGTCCTCCTGCATGGTGCGCCCTGATCCCTTGCCTGCTGTGAGCGCTTCTCCATGCCAACACGCGCGAGACTGAAGCTGATGGCGATGCTGGGAGAAGAGAGCAGCTGATGGCCTCGAGGTTGCTGCAGGAACCGCCGGCGACATGGCAGCAGCTTAGGTCAGAGACAAGCATGGATCGGGCTGGGGCTTGCTGTAGAAGCGATGTACATGTGGTCTGAGAGACAAGACACCTGCCGCTGCCCCACTGGTATGCAAGAACTATCCCTCCAGTGAAGGAGAGCAGGAGAGAGTTGATGAGTGGGCTGCGTTGAGACCCCCTCCCTCAAAGCTCTTTCTTCGCCTCGTCTCAGCAGCGTCGAGGGTCCCTTCCTTCTGGACCCACAGATCATGGAGTTGGAAGAGCCCTACTCTCCAGTGGAAATGCGTCCTTCCCAGGATACTGAGGTGATGGGCATGACGGGGGAGCAGGCCATGCTCGCGGTCCCGAGCACTCCAGTGTCTAAGTCCGGCTCTCCTGGTCTGCTTCCTCAAGGGCGACAGAGCAGGGTGACCCCTCCGCGAGCGAGGATAAGCAGCCCGTGGGCCTCTCCCTTCTCGCGTCCCGACGCATCATCGGAGGAGATTCCGGGGCTGCACAACGATGTCATCACACGGATGGCGCTGTCGCTGGGAGCTCCGACCAGACCAGGTGAGGATCAGAGGGACCAGGCGAGGGGGAGAGAGAGGAGGCAAGGGGGAGAGGGAGGAGGCGAGGGGGAGAGGGAGGAGGCGAGGGGGGGAGGGAGGATGTGAGCTCTGAAGAGAGGGCAGCTCGAGCTTCGCTGCTGGCCGACGCGGCAGGTGGACACGGCAAAGCATGGTGAGAGAGACGGGGGAGGGCTAGAGGAGCGATAGGCAGCTTGATGTATGACACGCTTGTGCCAGCACTGAGATCTCCCTCAACTCGTCTGCTTCGAGGAAGATGGACGAGTCTGTGCAGATCTTCGGGGGTGTATGTGACCTCCTCTTCTACGGGGAAGACCTGCCCATCATGTTCTCAATCCTCCAAGTCGTCGCTGCTTTGCAAGGTCAGAGCAGTCGCGCCTGCTTCTGACTGCGATGATGTGGCTGAGCGAGAGCAACAGAGCAAGGGAGCGAGGAGCGATTGACTTCTTCTCTCGTGCAAGTCTTCCAAGCAAACGGGCAGATGGAGCATCTGCTGACTAACTGCGCTGAGAAGCTGTGGGGCCGGGGCTCGGTGAAGGCCAAGGAGACGTTGAGAAGTGAGATTGGAGAAGGGAGGGAGGCAGACGCATGGCTGACGGGCTGGTTAGATGATTCCATCATCAAGAGTATGATTCTTGCCTACACCAAGTACGCACTGTTCAAACACAGTCAGACCCGTCTGACTTATCCTCTCAGAGCATGCAGCGGAGAATACTTGGAGTCGTTGCTTGCTCCTATAGCACGTGGATTGCAAGGGCCCTTCACAGCAACAACGACAGGGCTGAAAGGCTCGTTAGACCGGCTGCTTTCACGGGTCCTCAACTCAGGTACGAGGTCAGGGGTTTCAGGTCAGAACTGAGATTGTCTGTATCGAAGACCCCCCCCGCCCTCTTCGCGCTCTCTTCAAGAACTGGTCCAAGTTCTTCTCCAAGAAAGTCGGAAAGCGGATGACAGCAGCGATCTTGAAGATGCTGCTGGGAGAAATTCTGTCGAGCATGATCGAGGATGTGATGAAGAGGCATGCTGGCTCGCTGCCGTGTGCAACTTGACTGACACTAGTGCAGGAACGAGCAGTTCACCCCGGACTGTGTGAAGTTTCTGCAAGATCACGAGCAAGTTCTTCGATGCATGGCCAGCAACGAGGGGTTTCACGGAAGCTCGCCTCACTACCCCTTGAACTCTTGGCTGGACAGCAAGCAGGCGCTCCTCGATCAGGTAACGCCCCGGAATCCCTCCCCCCCCTCGTGAACTTCTCGCAGATCTTGAAGAGGATGGTCGAGTGCGAGGACACTCGGTATCACTCCTGGAACTCTGAGAGTGTAGTGAAGGGAAACGCGGCCTCGTTCGAGGTGAAGACTGAACCTCCTTGTCCTGGTCCTGCTCTCCTTCCTTTCTTCCTCTTCTTCTTGCTCAAACCCGCTCCTGTTGCCGCCTTCTGCGTTGACAGCATGCTCAGTACATCCTCTCGTTCGTCAAGGCGCACAAGGACAGCATCATCCGAACCTACGAGGCCTTCGACTGGAAGTGGCGGGGGCTCCACCAGACTCGCTTGCCCTCCCTGTGGGCTGCCTTTGAGACCGGGAGGAGGCGTCGGAACATGACCACAGTCTCCTCTCCCCCTCGCTCCAGCACCTTCCTCGAAGTCTCTGCGGTCAAGGACAGCAAGATGGCCCTCGAGCTCGACCAGGCAAGAGCGGAAGGAAGCGTCTCTGCCAGGGAGCAGGCATGCCATGTTACATGCGCGCTGAAGGAGGTGCTGACGTTGTTGGCAGAGCGATGATAGGATGGAGAGCTTGACGTCAAGGGTGACTGAGATCGACTTCGATCATCGCAACCTTACGAAGGTGAGGAGGACGAGGAGGAGGAGAAAGAGAAAGAGGAGGAGAAAGAGGAGGAGAAGGAGGAGAAGCTGCCCATTCTGCAGCTGCTGACGACGAGGTCACTCGCCAGATCCCTGTGCTTGAGCGCTTTCACAACCTGCACACCATCAACATATCTCACAATCAGATCTCTTCTCTGAGCCACCTCCCCTCCTCCATAAGGTTCTGTCCTGCCTTGCTCTTCTCAGCTCCGGACTGACGTCTGCTGGGCGTCAGATACCTCAACTGCTCTCATAACTGCCTGAGCAGCCTCCATGGCATCCAAACTCTTTTGCTCCTAGAGAACTTGAATGCTTCTAACAACCAGCTAGAAGATGCCTGTCGCGATCTCAGAAAGAACACTAAGATCATGTCCATAGCTCGCTTCTTCTGCGTCCATGTACTCACACCTTGCCGCAGATTCCTCAACCTGTCCTTCAACAGGCTTGCTGGCCTTCAAGACTTCTCCCACATACCATCGCTGAGGTACCTCAACCTCGACAACAACTCCATCACGAGCGTCAACGACCTTCGCTTACTCTCCCTCAACCTCAAGCTCGTGTCCATCACTTGCCACAACAACCCGTTGACGGGCGAGCACGCGTACATGCCCAGCCTCGTCAAGCTTCTCCCGCAGGTTGAGAGCGTCGATGAGGAGAGCACTAGGTTGTATCACTCGCCCCTGACCTACAGCCGGGACGAGCCCTCCACGCCTACCAACGGCTGGCGATGGGAAGCAGAGGCAGAGACCTTGATGCCGACGAGAGGCCCAGCTCTCAGCCGGCTCAGCATCATCGCGAGAGAAGACTACGTGGCTGCCCCCGAGGGCCGGGCTGAGGCCCTGAGCCTCTCCGACCTCCTCGCTGACCAGATCTCCCCAGCTGACAACATCCAGAGGTCCCCAAAGGCGCGTCCAGCTCAAACCCCAGCTCGGGAGGGGTCGAAGAATCAGGCGCGTGTGCCGAGAAGGCAGAGCAAGAGATCTCCTGTGAGCAATCAAGCGCCGGCGCAGGGGAGGAGGAAGGAGGTGGGAAGCAGCGAGGCAGACGTTGAGAGGTTGATATGGTTCGAGTCAAAGTACTTGAAGGTGATCAGGATGTGGATGGTGATGCATTGGAGGAGGTTGACGAGGAAAGAGACGAGGATTAGGCTGTTCGTGAGCAAGCGACCTGCTGCTTCTTGCTTCCACCGTTGGAGGCGTCAATGCCTGCTGCTGCTCTGCAGGGCCTCTCAGGCCAGCAGGGCCGGAGTGAGTCTGAAGCTGTGCTATGCTGCTGTTCTGCTGTCCAATGAGAGCTGGGCTGATGGCGGGAGGAGGAGGAGGAGCCCGACTCTGAGCTACGGGAGGACGCTGATGCAACGAGGGTTCGAGAGACTGCAGCAACGAGCGATGGCGACGAGGATGCAGACGAGAAAGGCCGTGTGGCTGTGGGAGGTTCGCGCTCAGCGCTTGTCTTTCGTGGTCCTGTGGGCATGGCTGGAGCACGTGAGGAAGCTGAGGAGGTAGAATATGAGCTCTCGTTCCGAGCAGATGGATGCAACTGACATTCCTCAGAGTCTCTTCCTGTCTGCGGGGTTGGAGCCTAAGGAGGAACGCGCAAGTCCTGCGAGGCTGCTTCTACCTCCTGGTGGCGCAGGAAAGTGTCTGAGCCTTGCAGCTGTGTATGCTGACAGCGAGTGAGCAGTCAGAGCATGGAGAACATCTTCGAGAAGTTGCCAAGATGATTGAGAGAAGGTGAGGCAGGAGGATCTGACTTGATGTGTCGTGATGATCGTCAAGGTTGCGGAGTTCGTTGTCAGCTCGAGTCATGAGAGGATGGGCCGAGGCTGCTGGGGAATGTGCGGGTCAAGCTCGGAGGATTGCTGGTCTGAAGAGGAGGAGAAATTTGTTGACGATGCGGCGAGTTGTTGTGATTCTTTCCGAGTGTTTGCACCTGAGGACACTCGTGACATGTGAGGGCTCATACTGCTCATTCCTCCTGCACTGACGAGACGCTCAGCTGCTGCTCGCAAGCACCAGAAGTCCGTGACAAGGAGCAGCCTGCAGGCCTGGGGACGTCGTGCCGAGACAAGACAAGCGTCCCTCACCCGCATTGGCCAGCGGCAAGTGGCCCGTGCCAAGGAGACGCTGCTGGCATGGAGGAGCGTCTGGGCAGATCAGCAACAGAAGAGGAGGTGAGCAGGAGCTGTCATGAGCTGTCAGTGACTCGCCTCAGGCTGTCTCGTCTGCTTCACCGCATGGCTCGCAAGTTCTTCTTGACCTCCTGCATGGCCAAGTGGCTCTCCCTCCAGCAGACTCGCCGAGCTCAACGCGCGTCGCTCCTCACGTCTCAGCCATGTGACAAGAAGCCATGTGACTCTGCGCGACTGCTCTCTGACGTCTCGTACAGACTACCTGAGGAGCAGGTGGCACAGCCAGCAGGCTCTCGTCGTCCGTGCGTTGTCGACATGGCGCTCGAGGACGGCGATGAAGAAGGTCTCGACCATTCACACCATGGAGAGGAGGAGGCGCGTGAGAATATCCACATTGACTGCTTGGATCCTGGTGCAGCAACAAGAGCGAAGGCTGTCAAGGTGATGAGCGTCCTTGCTTGCTACAAGTAGCACTGACTCATACCAGATGCAACTTCGTCATATCCCAGAGAAACTGCAACAATAGAGTAAGGAGGTTGTTCTCCGATTGGGTCTCAGTCATTAGCTTGAAGGAGAAGAACTACAAGTTTCGAGGTAAGGCAGACTTGACCTTCTCCCGTAACCCTCTGCTGATATGTTTGCAGAGATGTGCCGGAGAAATCAGATGGCGCTGGAGACGATCATGGTAGTAGCAATATGGAAGGGTTGGAAACAAATGGTCGAGATGAGCAACTTATCGAACAGTTTCTGCGAGTACCTAGCAAGGGTCGCAAGGAAACAGCACTTGTCTCAGTGCTTTGCTGTCTTGTTCGGCGAGGTTGCAGACATGAAGTATTTTTTGTTCACCTGACTTGCCTGCCCAGTCTTGTAAGGTGACGAATGTGAGAAATCAAGTCAGGTTGTCATCAATGAAGAGATCAGTCAAGAGATTTTACGGTGAGGAAAGTTGTGTAAAGAAGCTTCTGACCCTGCTGGAGACGAGTGGAGAAGAACGACATCACGGGATCTTTGCTTGCGTAGACGATACCCCTTCCAGCGATCGAGACATCTTTACAGGTTGACTGGAACTTCCTTCTCAACATGGAAGCATGTCACTCTCGCTCGCTACTATGTTGCAGGTTGGCCTGCTGCTGCTGCTGCTGCTGCTGCTGCTGCTGCTGCTGCTGCTGCTGCTGCTGCTGCTGCTGCTGCTGCTGCTGCTGCTGCTGCTCCCCTTTCCCCGTCCCATTTTCACACTCGTGCAGCAACTCTGGATCGGATCTTACAGAAGCACCAGCAGCAAACGCATTTCATGCACGCAAGCGAGTCAGGTCTTTGCTAGGACGAGTGATATTTCCATTATATACTTTGTTGGAGGGAGTTGAAACTTTTC